TGTGTGTGTGTGTCTGAATGTTCCTCAGCACAAAAACTCCAGCAACACGTATGTGGTGACGACTGTGACCAATCACAGCTGTTTCTGGGACGACTTGAGGAGGATTCTGTCACTAGAAGATGACACAAGGTTGGAACAGCTTTTTTTTCTGGGAGCACAACAAAAATGCAAATGGGTGTATTTCCTCTATAATAGAAACCTGCGACTAAAACTGCTATTTTCATGAACTTCAGAGAAACCGATGAAGATGAGCTGCACTACCTGCCTGTGTTCAAGATAAACCTGTAACACGACCGTTCTATCAGCCCAGCCCTCGTGATCACGCTTTAATTGAAACCGACTGCCCTGATTTTAGAGGTAATCAATGACAAGCTTCAGGTAATCGTCGATAATATTAATGTTTCAACAAGGATGCACAGCGCTTTATAAAGGACCTCTTCATCTACATCTTGCATGCACAAACACCAGCGTTTCAACTTCGCTGGGAAACGTGTGGACTGGCTCTCAAACACGAGCAGCAGAGATGCCACTGACGTCTCCCTTCAAGCAAATGTTTAGCATCTCAAGGTCATGATATGGGATAAAATCTATAACATCTGCTTTGAATAATGACCACATAGGCAAGAAATGTGCACCGCCGCATCAATACAGCGAGCTGCGATTTTTTTTATTTTTTTTACACTGAATAGTGTTAACACAGAGACATTTGTCTTAGCTTAATTTTGTGCTGACAGCTTTACCCGACTAAAAAAGAAAAACTTGGGGAAAAGCCTGTTAGCTCTGTGTTGAGAAGCACAGTGGAAAGCAGCAGAGAGGGGACAAATAGCTTGTTGATGGAGCTCAAATGAAGCTGCAACAGTTTGTTTTTGCAGTAGCCTCATTAATAACCTGCGTATGGAAACGTTTTGCTACCAGACAATGCTGCTGGGCTCCTAATGAACTTGTGATGAGAGTTGCACACAGCAGGACACGAGCTTGTGCAAACATCACTATTGTGTGCTTTTGCTTCACGTCCGGTGTTTGCAGAAATTACAACAAAAAAAAACTCCTTTTGCATGCTTTTGAACTCCTGTTTCTTCTCTGTGCCATTCCACCCTTTTTTTCCTCATTTCTTTTTCTTTGTTTTTCTAAAATAAAATCCTCTGACACTCACAGGAAGACTTTGTTAGATCAACTGTCACAACAATATTTGACCCTCGGCCTCTGTGCTGTTGGTTTTTCCTGTTAACGTTAATGGCGAGGAACTGAAATCTCGCTCTGCTGCTGCTGCTGCACTTGTTGCCTCTGATAAAAGAATGTGGGCTTTGCATGCATGCAAAAAGAAATTAAAAAAAAAAAACTGAAAGGGTTCTATGCAGAAATCAGGGACGAAAACACTTAGTGCCACAATACACGGGGAAATATTTGAAGTTCTGGGAATATTCAAGCAAATAACTGAAACACAACATCAGTAAACGCCACTACTTGCATGAGTACAAAGCAAAAGCCATCATGCAGACACTAGTTGATGCACCACAGGAACATTACAACAGCCTACCACCAGTAATTAGCCAGCTATTTATAACCGAGACCACCAAGACAAGAGACTATTGGAATTATTAAGACATCAAAGCACATATGCAAAGATCACAAGCACACAATGCCACACACTCTTTTTTAAAATTTCTACGTGCGTGTTTAGTGCAGAATGACACCCACCTTGCAGCTCTCGCAGGTCAGCAGTCCATAGTGATAACCAGAAACCTTGTCTCCGCACACGGGGCACATCTCGTCCAGGTCTTCGTCATAGGAGTAGTCCATCATTTTTAACTGGGGAGCTGCGGGGGACACACGGACACACACACAGAGAGAGAGAGAGGTCTATTTCAGCGCTGAGGAATCTCTTCTTTCCCAAAAGCCCGCTTTCATCCATCAAGAAAAGAACCACTGGGGGAAGCACGCGTCGCCACTGAGTGAGATTTTTTTTTTTTTGTAAGTTCTCTTAGACTTTCAGAGGTTTCATTTGAAAAAAAAAAAAAAAGCTGATGAATATCGTCGATTTTGGAGTGAGTTGAAAGGACGCAACCATTTATTTCTACCCGTCACTGCCCCTTCTTCTCCATTCGTTGCAGACAGGAGCCAAAAATAATAATAATAATATATATATATATATATAAAAAAGGCGCTCATGAAAGTGAGCCTCATAAATATGCATGCGTCTAAGTCGTGAAATCGCTGGGGGAAATGGAGAGATATTAGACTTAAGGATTGGAGGAGAAAATGTTACCGCCCACAGACAAATGAAGACACACAGAGAAGCCCTTATCTCTGCAGGCGAGGTGAAAAACATCCAAAACCAACTTGAACCAACGTTAGTTTTTATGTTTTTTTGTACTCTTCTAAGAATCACCCCGCGATGCTGTAGGCCACATTTAGTTTCTTTTATATTTTTTACTCGTGAAAAAGTGTGTAGCAACAATATATATGACTGTTTGAACGCAGCAGGAAAAATAAAAGTTCAATTTTAGAAGTTCTTTATTGTCGCGTTTAAAAGTTTTTCTCATGATTTTGGAGTAAAAAAAAAAATAAAAATGACAGCTTTACTAATTACTGCATCTATTTAGGAAGGGATTAAATTGCATAACCTTTGCACATTTTTCCCACTTATTTTTTTATTTTCACATTTATGGCTCCGTATGCTTGAACGATGGGATGTTTTTGTGGTGTCGCCCCGCGCGTTAGAAACACTTGCATAAGTGTAAGTGTGTGTGTGTGTGTATGTGTGTGTGTGTGTGTGTGTGTGTGTGAGCGCTGAGGAAACAGTCAGGCTGACATTTACAGCAGTTACAAAAAGCATTTATGGTTCTAATCATAAAAAAAACGCAGCCAGGATTAAAACAGGAAAACCTCAGTGGATGTGGCTGTAAAAGTGGAAATATTTGGTCAACTACAGACGCCTTCCATCGGCCTTCACACGGCTCTGCTTCAAAAATCCACTCATCTGCTCGCAGAGACCCATTATTCATTATTTTTTATTTTAATTAGACGTGATTCCGAGTTTGTTAACGCCGTTTGCTCTGCTGGGATCCGCGCTGCTGCTGCGTATTCCAGCTGGAGCAACAAGTTCCACCAAGCTCCCGGCTTCTCTTTCTTTTCTTTCCTTCTTTCCACAGAAGCTCAAAGCATACATCCATTCCCGAACTTTCTTTTGCTGTAAAGCGTAAAAAAAAGAAGATGATTTTCTGCGGCCTTGTTGTCGAAAAAGATTTGGAAACATTTGGATAAAGAAAAGAAACGTTATCGGTCGCAATTATGGAGCAGATACGGTGGTGCCAAAATGATAATAAATTAGCACCTCTAGTTGGTGTTGATCCTAACGCAGCAAATTAGGAATATTTTCAAATATTTCCCTGCTTGCATTTGCCTCATCTCTACGCTGCTGCTGCTGCTTTTTTTTACGCAAACATCCAATTTCACATTTTAAAACTGCAAAAAAAAACAAGCGCCTTTTTTGATGCAAAGGTATGCGTAAATTGATTTTAACTGAGCTCCTCCTGCATCCCTGATGCAGTGACAGTCGCAGGTGCGCGTACACGGCGTGTACGTGCAGAGTGCATTGCTTTAAAAGATGCAAAAACGCACCGGTGTCTCACCTGCTGGGCCCCTTTGCTCAGGCAATTTCCACATAAAAAGAAAAAGCGAGAGAAGAAGAAGAAAAAAAAGAGATGCATTTATGATTCCAGGAGAAATCCCTTTTCGGTCGGAGCTACCTTGTTTTAAGCGGTGTGTAAAAGTAGATAACGGGCTCCCTAACAAGCCACTCCTTGACTTGACTGAGTGTGTGTTATCAACGTCTCATAAACCAAGACCGGGCTAATTGATTGCCCGGTTATATTGCTGTGGAATGACATGCGCCGAACAAGGGGGGTTACGTGAGTTTATCTTGGCAAAAGAGTCTGATCCTCCTTTTTTTTCCTTTTTTCTAAATGCTCCTTAATGTGTCATCTACTTTGCAGGGAGAGATCAAGGAAAAAAATACACATTTTAATATGTGCCGTAGGGAATTTGAATAATTATGAAAAAAAAGTAAAAAATGTCTCCAAATTTGTTCCCAATCAAATCTGCATTTTTTAAAAAATCATAAACTTAATTTGGCACATTTAAAGCTCGAAAGCAATGATGTCCTGGTTTTTTTTAACACCGTCAGTGTGATGTGAAAAAGTTAAATAGAGAATAAAAAAATACACACGACTGCCCGATAAAAGCCACATCTGGTGCCCCTTTTAATTTAATTTCGCTTCATTTTCTATTGAATTTGGGTTAAATGTTTAGCAAACCGCGCATTTGTTGCAAACATAACGAAATGTGAATTAGTTTCGATTCGTGCCACAGTTATTTTCATTTTACAATGCCTACAAAGTGTGAAGTAGCTCAGCATTAACAGGCTTTTTGGATTAAGCTTTACTAGTCCGAGGTCAAATATTTTGGGAGCGACTAAATCAGACTTGTGTTCTTCTTCATAAATTGGCTACAATTCTGCTTCTGCTATTTTTTCATGCAGACAAAATCGTGAGTACAATCTGCACATTCTGCTGAGACCAAGTCAGGTGGTTCACTGTGAAACCACACAAGTTAAAAAGTCAAATACACAGAACTCCACTGCTCTCTCTCTCTCGGTTTTTACGCACCAGGCGCCCGCACACTCACAGCGTGACTGACAGCTGGGTATAATAATTGTTTGATCGCGGGCCAAACCTGAGAAAAGTGTGTTCGAGTCCAATCTAAATACATACTTTTAAATCATTACAGCAGGCTAAAGGTTGGGAGAGAACACTGCAGAGTGTTAAAGACCACACAGAACACATTTTAAAATATATATCTAATAGTTCTAATGACCTTCTAGGAATACGTGTGATCATTTATCCCGTCTGTCGTACAGTATTAATATAAAGCGACAGGTACTGGTTCAAATTGTGCGCAAAAACGCAGCGGACAAGAGCGTGTACCGAAGTTTTGGTGGGTACGCACTGAGGACTTCCAGCCCGACAACGCTCCGTAAAGTGACCGAAGTGGAAGCTTGTGAATCTGCCTCGTTCAGCCTAAAGAGATTCAAATGAATGGCACTTCTTACCTTGCATATTCCTTGGCATGTGCCCCTGTTCCCCATACGATCGAGAGAGTCCCAGGGATTCAGTCTCGACTTTGGGCAGCATGTCAGCACTGCCGGCCTGAGCTGGAGACTCCGCACCGCTCGGCGGGACACCTGGACGTGAGAGGCAGACGTTCGCAAAAAAAACACACACTTGGAAGTGTCCAAAAAAATGTGTTTTAGTTCTCTGATTCTTACTTAATCGCTCTCGCTCTCTGCGTCTTCCGATTATCGGACCATGTTAGGAAGATAAAGCCTGATTTAAGCGATTTTGTCCAAACGGCAGGGCTGCATAGCCCATGCGTCGGTCTGCTCGGATTCAACTTCACTAATGGGATTTTTCTAATTACTATTGCGCATTAAAAAAAAGTGAAACATAACGCAGAGCACAAACGAATGATTCCTTCAGTACTTAGGAGCAGTTGCGCGCTGAGTTGAGGGAATCACTCTGTACTTAAAGGAAAGAGCAGCTCAGCGTCCGGATTAAAAGACGGTGGTAAGTTTCCTCTTTATCTTTCCCAAAGTCTTTAAAGCGCGTCACCCGTTAACGTGAGACTGTCAGTGAAACTTTCAGCCTTGAGCAGACAAGCACGCGCCGCCGGGGCCGCCCTCTCCTGCGCGTAAAGTCGGATTCGGTGTGTCGGTCGGACTGTCTGGAGATGTGGAGACCTCTCCTCCTCCTCCTCGCGGCTTTGTTTACTCCGCTCTCTCCAATCCGGGGCGCATGCGGTCGTCTGACATCATCTTTCCCCGGTCCAATCAGGCGAGGAGACCGGCAAACATCGCCTCAAACCCTCCAGTTCCATCTCTGTAAAATCTCAGCTGTTTAATCCCGTTAATGATGGACTTTAAAAGCGGAGGGGAGAACAAGGAAATCAAGAGAGGTGATGCAACTGCATGTGAGAGCAGACTCCCTGCGAGCGCACGGAGCGCAAAGCCAGAGCGCAAGGTATGTGGACTGGAGCGAGTTAAGCAGCACCGTACTGCAGCACATATGCGCACGGGTGCTCATGCTTGTGAGAGCTAAAGTTTATTTGATAAAACTGCTAATCTTCATACATCTGTTGCATATATTTTGTCGTGCAATTTAATTTATGTCAATAATTAATTTTGGCCTCAGTGCTCATCTCCAGGGCCTACAGCTCAATTAAAGTTTAACCATGAAATACAATCAAATAAAACGCAACAACCTTTCTTTCTTTCTTTCTTTCTTTCTTTCTTTCTTTCTTTCTTTCTTTCTTTCTTTCTTTCTTTCACACCGCAGGTGGAGGGCGTAGTAAATTCTCTTTAAGGCCCATTTAAGACACCAAAATGCAAAACAAGCTGCGCATCATTTGTAGCTTTTGGGTTTGTTTGTTCACTTTTGTGGAAAACGTGAGCACCGCCGGCCTCAGGCTTAACACGGCCTTTATTTTCAGATCAAATCGCCCCCCTTACGCAATAAATTATACCTGTGCTTCTGAATTATTATCAGTAATTGGCTGAGCAGGGATCAATTAGTGATATGACGTCAGACTCCTGCTATTTTTGCTTGTTCCAAATTAAAAACACAAAGACAAAAAAGAAGAAGAAGAAGAAAAAAAAAAAAGAAGAATGAGGCTGACACGTCCCTGTATGTGTGCAACACAGACAAACATTTTATTTTAGTTCGCAGTGTTTTCTTGTTAGTGAATGGGGGGACACGGAAAAGTCAGCAGACACACCTGAGGGGTCGCAGAGGGCGCGCTTTACGCACACAGTGGCGCCCAGTAGTTAAAAACAACAAGAGGTTCTCTTTAAAAGGATCAGAGAGGAATACACAGTTCAGTATTTTCTTATAAGATAGTGATTTAATTGTAATATTGGAGGAATGATGCACAATCAAGATCAGTAAGGAAATGGCACAATGTTTGATTACATCCTGTCCTCTTTTTAGTTATTGTATGATTAACTACATTTAAGTTAAAGGTGAAATATTTAAGAAATCAGTTCTGAGCTAGTAGGAATTCTGTCATCATAACCTGATAAAGCTTTATTCAAAGCAGGACAAAGACAACCTGCAGCTGGCAGAGTAAGAGTGCAAAACCACAAACACTACACAATCTGTTGCACTCATCCTTGATTTAATTTCAGCTTTAATTACTGTATGGATCACACTGACAAAAACGGTGGTTTAGCATGTACACTATTATAGATTCTTGGTAATCCAGTAGAAGTTGTACCACATTATCACTTTTAAAAGTTATTCTAACGCTCATCCACTCCTTTTAAATTCACTCTCTAAAATAAAAATCATTCAACACTGGCTACACGACGTTATCACTTAAATGTAAATTAATGCTTCTGTGTGTTTCATGCGACAAACAGGCTTGAAATGACTGCAGCTTTTTAAAATGGCATTACAGTCGGCCCACATAAAACAGGTTCACCTGCGCCGATCAGGTCCTCTCTGGTGCTGACCTGTTCTTGTTATCGCTGAGTTTTCCCCTTTTTCTCTCTTTTTCATTTTCCCACAAGCGCCCTCCTTCCTGCTGCACCACACAGATGTGCCTCTGTGTCTTTGAGGACACTCCTTGATGTAATGCATTCTTTTGCCCTTTACCTTAACCTGAACCTAAACTAAAAAGTTCTGGGGTTTTTGCCTGCAAGTCGCCACAATTTTATGTCCCTGCATTATGAGTAATAATACTCTGGACTGCTCTAATACTCCTCGTGTGCACATAAAATGAGTTGTTGTGCACCTTTGTAGAATAATCTTCTTAACCCAAAGTCTTTTTTTTTTAATTAATCAAAAATGGTCAAACAGTGCATTACTTAGAATACATTAAACCAACCAAACGAGAAACAAAAAACAAGGAATGAAATGAAAAGCTGCAGTAAACTTTGCTTAGAAAAGAAATGAGGTGGCCTACTGTTTAATCAGTGATCACTATCAGTATTCACACACATACAAACACAGGGGTCCTTTTTTTTTTTTAAACCATCATTTGTTGACCAGCAGATCACCCTCAGTGTTGTCAGGGTGCAGGGGGGGTTCCACCAATCAGCAAAATGTCCTAAATGCTGACGTGGGATTGGTTGAAACTGGGTAACTTGCAGGCAGTGGTGGGTGGAGTCAGAGGATGACAGGGGGAGAGGACAAGTAGGGGCGGTAGGGGTGAGAGGGTGAGAGAGAGAGAGAGAGAGAGAGGGGGGATGCAGGTTAGGTTATAAAATGACACAGAGACTGATAAGACCTTCTCTGGCAAGATAGCTCCAGTGGAATGATTAACTTGTATAGAGAGAGAGAGAGAGAGAGATAGTAGGTGATGTGGGGAAAGGTAATAAGGAATACAGAGGCACCGAGGAAGTAAGGGAGCATAAAAGTCAGGTCAGAAAGTTTGAGCACAAAAACGTGCAAGAAAACACGGTTTGTCGTTCACAGCAACCTGACGCGCAGCTGGAACACAGGGACAAAGAGGTGGTCGTGTATTGAGTCTCTCCGGTTTGCAGGTTCGAGTGGCAAAAAGTCACATCAAATGACAAAGTCACATCGACAGCACGGCTCAAACTTTGGACTAATCTTTAGCCGTGTTACACTTTAGGATTTATCTGATTGGCACACGCATACACACTGGCAATCCGAGCAACAACACAGCCGGCTGTAAAAAAGAAAAAAAAAAAAAATCTGCTTCCATGCACAAAGCACAAAAATCACTTTTATTGTAGGTGGGATGTCTGTGCATTCTCTTTCTATGTGTGTGTGTCTGTATTTGTGTGTATATTAGCAGCTGGATACCTGGTGAGGACGCCACGCTGTAGTTTGTTTGCATGCAAGTCTGGGCATGTGTGTGTGTGCTTTAAGTGTGTGTGTTTGTGTGTGCACTGTGTTCATAAATGAGTGTATGTCTACATGCATGACTTTTCTGATCAAATAACAATAGCCTTGGAATTGTACAGCAGCGCACACTAACATCATTAAATTATAATCAACACACATTTGCTATTCATAACCAGGAAATCCCCCCCCATCACCCCCCACCCACACACACACACACACACACACATCACACACACACACACACACACACACACACCACACACACACCTTTCTCTCCCATCCACCGCAGTTTTCTGTATTGAAGATCTAATGTAAACAGTCATTTGTTCTAAAAATACTGCAGGAGCTGGAGTGCAGAGCAACAACTCATAAAACAAAACAAAGAAGGTGGCGGCGTGGCACAAACACGCCGTGACTGATGTAAACAAAACACAAGAGAAGGATGAAAGCAGCAGCAGAGGTCTTGTGCTGTTAGTTTAAACCACCAGTAGGTACTGATGAAAATAACTTTAAAAAAAAAAAAAAGAAGCAAAAATGATCCCCTTTAAACGCTGTGAAATAGTGAAACAAAACAGATAACTTTTTTTTTTTCTTTTATTGATGCTTTTATGTGGAAGCCATAAAACCAGCTGTAAACACAACACTGACATATTATCACCCTGGAACGTTGTTATGCTGAACAATTTCATGTTTACACATCCAGAGCATTTGGAAGTTGTTCATTTGGGGTCATGTGTCTGCCCACCGCACACATGTAAGCCCCATATAGACTCTTCTTTTGGCTCTGTTTTGATCTCAACACGTTGTGAGTTCATCGTAGCTTTTCTGCTGGAGTTTTCAGGAAGTAAACAAAATCACCTGTGAGAAACATGCAGGGGAGCTGTTTGCTCTGACTGGTCTGTTATGTTGGATAATAGCTGATAATATACCACATTTATGTAGTTTTGCATTCCTTGGTCAACTGCAAAAGTAGAAACAGTGTTTAGATCAGAGGTGAGCAGCCATTCCACCTCACTAAAACTATTATTTAATCACTATTTTTATATTTGTATAAGTTAGAAATGAACTTAACAGCATCCTATGTGTTTATGTACTCAACAGAAAAAGAAGAAAAAGAAGCATCTCCTAAGTGTGGTGTGGTTTTACATCCAGTTTTACATTCTTGCTGATTGTCACTCCCTAATTCTCTAATTCCTTCCATAATCTGGTATCCCTTTGACTTTCTATTGTGCCCTCAGGTCAACTGCTGTTACCTGCTGGTCTCCAGGTCTTTGGCTGTAGACAGGCAGTGGATTATTGGAGGAAACCGAGTCTGTCAACAGCAAGTGTTGACATTCGGGCTTAGGAGATAAACCTCGCAGGGGATCAAACAAAGACTGGCTCTTTTGACTGGAGAAAGGTGTGTGCATTCGTGAGTGTGTGCGTGCGTGCGTGTTTGTGCAAAGACGTTTCAGTGTTGCAAGCTTGCCGCTGACGACCTGAAGTGGACGGGCTTTGATATTGTCTGAGAGGTTTGGTTATCTCCATGTCAAACGGCGAAGAAAACTTAAAAGAGAGGCGAGCTGCACAACACGTGTAGGCGCGCGTTTTTAATGATTTATACTTCAACAAGTAAAAAAAAAACAAAAAAAGGATATAAATTTATAAAAGATAAACATGTATCGAGAATATTTTCTGGCTTGACTGGCATCGGTGTGCTCCAACATGAGTCCCACAGAAACACACACTGTAACAAGTGGGCAGATATGAGAGAATTCGTCAAACACTCTCTGCCAAACCAAACAAAATGTAATGCTATGCTATACATTTACATGTTGGAAAATTCT